TTGCTCAAGAAAAAGTGAACAACATCAAATTGGACATTATTGGTTTCTCTAGATACGTTCCTAAATGGAAAGGAGGCAGCAAACCCGAGCACTGCCACTCTCTTTGAAATTGAACTTTTAGTAGTCAATAAACAAAAGCCAGGAGCTTAATTTCTGGCACAAGTCATAGATATTTGTATTCTGTGAAGCACAGAGGTAGGGCGTATTACTCAGGTAAACTTTTAGTATTCAGAAATAGCAGATGTGGGTATCTCCTTTTTTAACTTACCTTTTTAAAGTGTGGCATAAATACTGACCACAGCAGCTTACTCTCAGGTTTCCTAACTTTCCCAGCCTGTTTTCCCTGTGCAGGATGTGTTTCATGTGCTGGCTTTCTCCACAGGGTATGGGGGGACAGCATGGCTACTTTGGGCTCTGGATAGACAGTGACTACGGGAAGGGCCACAGCAAAGCCAAACCTCGCTGCACCACCTACAACAGCCCCCAGCTGTCAGCCAAAGAGGATTTTACACTGGATGCCTTGGAAGTTTGGGCAGTGGGAGACACCCCTGAGAGTGCAGGGGTAGGTGAAATTGTGAATTGAATCTGTGAAATTGTGTGCTGGTTGGAACAGAAGATGTGAATGCAAAGCTCACAGTTGAAGTTTTCTGTTTAAACACTGTCTTTGATTGTACTGAATAATATTTTCTTTACCTGGCCCTGTGATGCCATGTGTTTTATAGGACCAAATAGCAAAACTCTAGTGGAATTATTGAGGTTGCCAACAAGAAAGAACATCAGGAGCCATGAGGTAATAGAGTCAGAATAGCAGTATTTTGAATTTCAAAAGGCCTTTTCGATATTGAGGAATATCCTCCAGGAGGAACCTCCTTAGAGGGACTCAGTAAAACCCAGAGTTTCTAAAAGCACTGGAAATTCTCAAGTCTAAGCTGTAGTTCAAGAAGAGACCCAAAATCTTTCTTTATCAGTAACTAAATTTACTATTGTTTTACCATAAATTTGTGTGAATAGGTTTATGCCAGTCTTTCTGCACTTGGTTTATTTTTGGGAATGAGTAGGAGCCCTCTCTCCAGTCTCCTCTATCCCTGCAATTTATTCTCTCATTAAACTGTCTGTTTAGTCTGTACAGTTTGGTGGGGTTTTAAAAATGATTTCTTTTCAATTTTTACTTCTTGTCATACTAAATTAATGTACCCTGACTGGACACATAGCTCTTAAGTAGAAGCAGAACTGTTGACAGAAATTGTTGAATTGTAACTGGATCTCTTTAAAACCTCACATCAGCACATCAGACTGAGGTGGGGTTAACCAGGATGTCCTGGATCCTTATAACCTGAATAAACTTGAAATATCTCACTGCCATCTTAGGAAAAGTTTATGGCTATTTTATGTAGGTGCAGCAGTAAAAATCATTTGATGTAGTTGTGAATTTTGAGATTGGGAATACATCTTCTCCGTTGTGCCAAGCTTGCAGACCACATCACTTACAGACGTCTGAGTGTGTCCCTTCCCTGTAGCCTGATGTTGACATTTTAAATTGACTGTATTTTATTTTGTTTTGAAGAGAAAAGGTAAGAAGAGTATCCTGGATGTGGATCCTCAGGCTCAGGCCTTGCTGGAAATGGCTGGGAAAAGCCGTCAGAGCGAAGGTCTGCGGGAGCCCATGGAAGAGGAAGAAGGTGATGATGATGAGAACTAAAGGAGCCACAGAAACATGTAAAAACTTCACTTTTATTTGCTTCAAGTGGTGATGATGTTCCTTGGACAAGATATTTTTTCCTTTTTTTTTTCCCCTTGAATGTACCTAATTGTCTGGGACAAAGCTTAAGCCTTGTGCTTGTGTAATATTTAGGTCTAAAGCACTATTCTGCCTGAAGCGTTTTGTTTGGGGAGGGCAGAAAAATTACCTGGGGACAAAATCATTAGGCATGGCTGAGCTCCAGCTGAATATGAATCTGCTTTCATTCCCCATAGATCATGTCTGCACACTGAATTAAAAGCAGCAGAACTTATTGACAGTATGGCTTTCTGTCCTGGAGAATTGATATGTACATAGTTATATGTACATATAAAGCCTGGTTAAGGCACTGATTAAAGCTCTTATACCTCAACTGCACATATTTATTTGCATGCAATGAAATTAGTTAGCAAAGCTTACAAACTGTAACAATGTCTTACACTGGTGAACATAGAATAGTCCACATGATGACATGTGAAGGGTGCTATAAGTTTGCATTGCTACAGTTAAAGCATTAAATTTCAAGCTTCCTAAGTCAGATTTTCAGTGATTCCATGTGAGCTGTAGGATGTTACACAACAACAAGTTGTATAGTACTACACTATCCCTGGTGCATCTCACTTCATCTGTTTCTGCAGAAACTTGTCTGTTGCTTTTTAAACTTAGACCAGAATCATTGGAGCCATATTTATCCTAAAAATACCTCCAGCAGAATTCTCTAGAGAAGGTACATTCTTTAGAAGCCTCATGAGTCTGGAGTAAAAGATCAGGCTGTAAAAAAGGTTGAGTAAGAAGCAGCCATACTTAATTGAGAACAGGATCTAGAGATACCTTGTGAAAGAAATAAAAAACAGGGTTATATCTGTAAAATGTTTAAAGAAGATTGCTGTACACTTTATTTCCACATAATGAATCATTACTCTGTTGTGGAAAACTGTAAAATGTCGTTGTTGGGGTTTGTGCTCTCTTTTGTGACTGTTCACCAATTTTGTCAGGTCTCTTATACTCAGAACTACTTCTTGCATAAGTTCCCATCTCTCAGTAATTATTAGTTTTAACTTGCTAATTCTAAGTGTAATTAATTTGTCAAAAAGAACCCTGATTTCTACCAGGGGCTGCAATTTCTAACTCGGCAATGAGTGTTTGGTTATCAGTGTCTCTGATTGTCAGTCTTCCTTCTCCTGAGGAAAAGGGCTGTGTCCAGTCCCGGCATGTCTTCTTTGCAGCTTAGAGAAAAACAATAGAATTATATAATTTCTGCTCATGTGGCCTTCCTTCAAATTATTTTCCTTGGTGTTTTCTTGTATGAGATTTTTTCCCCCACCTGTTTTTCATAGGGAGCCAGATTTGAATATTCTGAACAATCTGCACTTGTGCCTTAAATTAGATCTCCTTTTATAAATTATATTAAACATTAATTTAGCCTTGAAAGGAGAGCATGAAGAAATCACTCCAGCCAGGTATCCTAGGACTCAACTGTGTGTTTTGTGGAGTACCTGAGCTAATGCTTGGGGCATTTATGTGCTGTTTGTTCCAGTACAGAAAGGGCTGTGAAAAGCCTGGGAGAATTCCTTTTATGTTGTATTTGCTTAGAGAAACCAGATAGTCTTGTAACACAGAGAAAAAAATAAGCATCAGAATAATTGCACTGATACTTTTGTATAGTTTTCTTCTCTATATATATAAATAATATTAAAAATATTAAATTTTACAATGTAAGAAGTAGTAAGTACATGATGTTGTCTATGAGTGTGGTGATAGCAGCTTTTGTTTGAACATTCTCAAACTCCCACCATGAGTCTCAGAGGTCATTTTCACTGAGCAGTGACTAAGCCTATTAAACACTCCCATGTAGGTGGCACACAGGATGAGACAGTTGAATTTCTGCAATTAAACATAAAATAAACTGCTAGGCTTTATTTTCCTCCCATTACAAGACAGAAGCTTGTTTTTGAGAACTGAAACCACCTGCAAGGGTATAAAAAAATTTTACAAAGCTACTCTCCACCAAAAATGTTTCAGTGGCCAAGTTTTCTTTGATTTTTAGTGAGTATCAGTATAGCTATTTCTTTCTAGATTATGAATCCAAAATATAATCCTATTTGAACTTCTTCTTGTGACTATCAGCATAGCACTGTGACCTCTGAAATTGTAGTTTTTTGACAAGTTTGTGTCTGAGACTCTTCATTTGAAGATGTTAAGCTGGGACAAGAAGAAAACTGACACTGGCACTTCAGCAAATGTCTCAGTGAAGCATTATTTACTAGGACACTACTGATCCAACCAGCAGATAGGATTATTCCAAACTGTTCTTCAAAAAATGGGCTTGGGAAAGACTCCGTTTTTATTTTAACCTGAACCTAATTTTTAAGACATCTGGGCTTCATGCTCATGAACCTCAAAATGTCCAGAAAGCTTTTGTCAGCAGTGGGCATAGCTGTGATCTGAACAGCTCCGTTCCTTTTGTGCATTTTTGGCCCAGCTGCAAAGCCCAGATCTCTACTCTGTTCCTGACTCAACAGAGATGTTGAGCCCAACATCTGTGCTCTGGTCCTGCTCCTGTTCCTGCTTTTTATTCTCAGGCTGTCTGGAAGTGAGTCCCTTTCCCATTAAATCCATCCACTGCTGAGTGTTGGGTCTGATCAGCCTTCCCTTCTCCTGTCAGTCACACAGGTACAAAACCTGACAGCTGAGGGTTGGCACTTCAGCTCCCTGCTCTGTTTGGCAGCTCCCCGGAGTTTCCTTGAAAGTCTTGTTGAGTCAAGCTTGCATATCTGGGAACCCACAAACACTACAGATGGAAGGAAAATAAATGTTTCAAAGCAGGTCTTTTCCACTCTTCTAATGAAACATTTAAGGACATGTCTCAATCATGAGTCTCACTCAGATACTTGTCAGTAACATTTTAAAATGTAGATTTTATTAATAAAAATTATTTTGATTTAAATAAATAAAATTTCAGTTTATGCACAATAGATTTTTCTGTACAGGTTTGAAACTTTTTTTTTTTGTGTGGGACTAGCTCAGCCTTCTGGAACACAGAGCAGTGTTATAAAAATATACCTGCTCTTGGTTTAAACCAGGAGCCACTCGAGGTATCTGCAGACAGCTCACATGAAGGGGTAGCAGAGTCTCTGGTGTAAGCACTGCTGGTACAGCTGCACTTGAGTACCTTCAGGAAGGATGTGTGGGTCACAAAGCCGTGGATTGGGATTCTCCAGGATCACAGCTGTGTTCCAGGTGTGCTTTAGGGCAGTGTCAGTCAGTTGTGACGTCCCTTTGTGTGCTTTGGGGGGCAGCAGCGCTTTTCACAGAGTTTGAGCAGCTCGGACACCACGAACACTGAGGAAGCCAGGCTGGTGAGGAACAGCAGGTCTGGGGGAGGAGAGAGTGCAGGTGAGCTCAGCCAGGCAGGAATCCCACCCAGGGCTTTCCTGCAGCTGGGAATTGGGCTGCTGAGCCCAGGGGTATGTGTGCCCTCCTTGTGCCATTGCCAGCTGAGAATTAGGGACATCCCTGCAGCAGGTAAGGGCCACCCACAGCTGGGATTGTCCCCTTGGAGGGTGGAAACGGGAATCTCTGCCCCCTGCTTATGACACAGCCTAATGAAGATGGAACACGGTGTGGTAGGGTGCAATTTGCTGATTTAAATTAAAATCTGTGTTCCATTTCAGTGGGGAAACTGAAGTTTTAACTCAGCTCTTTCCAAAGGGAGTGTCTGCATAACGACCTGAGAAATGTCATCATACAGAGCTGGAAAGTCTTGGCATGTCTCCATTTACTTGTATTTATGTGCAGTAAATCAAAATTCAGAATCTAAGCTGGGATAATATGAAATACTGCTACTGTTTGGGTACAGCTCTGTGTAAATACACAAAGATTGGAGCTGTTGGTTGATTTCCCCTTCCCCTTGCTCTGTTAGCTTCCCTTCTGTTGGGAGCTAACAGCAAACTGGGAACAGCATCTGCTTTCTACAGTCACTTTAAGGAAAAAAAAAACCAAACACAACAAAACAAACCATTATTTATTTTGCAACTTACCTAACACTCCTAAATTCTCTGTCTGGAAGATCTTTTGTAGTGGAGGGATGTAAATAACAGCCAGCTGTCCCAAAAATGACCCAAGCACAGAATACAAGAACATGCGGTTTCGGAAAAAGCCAATTTCAAATATCAACTTTGTCTAGAAAAGGGAAAGAGAATTTAAAAAGTAGTTTTTCCCAAACTCTGTTGGAGCTAAATGTCACCTTGTTTCTTTACATTTCATCTCCATTACCTTTTAAGTTGCATAAACACTTAGAGCTACGTAAGTGAAAGTGCAGTTGCACTTGTGATGGATAATTTTATCTGTATAAAAAGTTGATAAAAATAACACTGCTTTAAATAACATTAAAAAAAAACCCTTACTATGCAAAATGCTGGTATTTTAATGTTTATGTTTGTGATTTGAGACAAGAAATTACTGCTGACAGAGCCATCTCACCTGAGAGCGACATGTCAGGGCGTTGAAGAGGTCAAAAAACACAAAACAGGTGAAAGTCATAGTTGTTGTTCGAGGAGTTATGCCCCCTTTTGGATTCTGGAAGCACACAAAAAATCAGGAGTTAGTTTAAGCTTACAAAAATATGCCAATTCAATAGAAGAATTAAATGTTCCCTTTAATGTGCCTAGTCAAACCAAAGGGTAGTAAGACAAAGGAGTAAATCTATTTCTGTTATAGATAACATTCAGTTTTCTCTGCTAATTTTAAAGTTTATGATCTTATCAACCATGTTTTAAATTCTTAAACTGAGGTGGACTTTGAGTAAAGAACTTTCTAAATTAAATTACTGAGACTTAAAGTGCCAACAGGAATCCATTGTACTTGCTATTTTCTGCTGGGAAAATGGAAAGCTAGAGGTGAAAAGGCTCTTGAAGTATTGATGTCAAATCAAGTAGTAGGTTTCCCATTGTGGATTGGAAAGACCAAATTAGAGGTGAGAGAGGGAGGCAGGAGCAGAGCTGGGAGCTGACCCTGCTTTCTCAGCCCCTCTGCCCACACTGATCCTTCCCATGAGATAGATTCCAGAAAGTCCTTGTCACGTCCTTCAGAAACTGCCCTCACTTTGTGCTCCACACACCCTGATGGAAACAAGATCCGAGTGCAGATTTCCCTCACCTCCTTCCAGAAGACAAAGAGAGTTCCACTGATGATGATGATTGCTGACATGAAGATTTTCAGGATCAGGGATTTGCTGAGGATGGTGTCCGTGATGCAGCGGGGGGGCTGCTTGATGGTGTCCCTGTCAACAGGTTCAACCCCCAAGCTGCCTCCAAGAGAAGCAGAGGGATGTGTTAATTAATGCAGGGCATCCCAAAATGTTCATCCTGAGAAACCAGGATGGAGCTGGAGGATGCAATTCTTTGGAACATAGCGTGAATATTCTAGCAAGGTGACATAAGGCCCAAATTTGTCCAAGACACTGATACCAAAGGTCTTTTCTGCATATTGAGCTGCTAAAATAACATCATATCATCACACCATCCCAAAGTGAGAGCTGACTGTGAGACTAAGCATAATGAGGAAGCTGTAATTGTATTTAGCTGTAGTTGTAATTAGCAGTTGGATGAGGTTCCTAAGTCTTGTGATTTTGGGGCATATCCCCACTATTCCCTGCCCATTCCACCAGCAGGTGGTATTTTCATGATAACAGGCCATTCCTGGTCAAAAAATGGAATATTTAAGTGATTCCACCATAAACCAGGAAAATACAGAAAACCTCATGTAAATGTAAAGTGATTTTTGAAAGACCAGAAGGGAGCAGAAGTACAGTTTGTTGAACCACTGATGATGATTGATGAAGAATCGCAACAGTTTGTGTTCCTAGGCCAAATATTAAACCCAAGATTATTTTTCTCATTGGACCCTTCCATACCTCTGTGCTGGTGGCCCATCCATGATGATGTTGATCCATAAGATCTGCATAGCATTGAGTGGGTTGGGTAGGTTGAGCACTGTTGACAGGGTAATTAGGCTCAGAGCTGAAATACTCCTGCAAAGCACAGAACATTATTCTGCAGGGCTTCACCCTGAAGGTGCTTTTCACAGGAGCTGAAGCGAACAGGAACTTACGTGCTCAACTGGAACCGGACAAAATTTTTTATGTTGTAAAATATTCCCTTTCCCTCTTCTATTGCATTCCTGGAATGGAGAGGGAATTTTGTTAACTCAAGAGCACTCATACTGTTTTACTCCCTGTGACACTCAAAACACAAACTGTCTTTTTCAATGGAAATTCAGAGCCCAGCTCAGGAGGAGGTTGTCAATGCAGCTCTTCAATTACAATTCCTTTATCAACAAGTAGATCTGAAAACCTGGGTCACATGGGCAGGTTTTGGTTCATAAAGCAGGCCTAGGACCTATTTATATACTCACTGTACCCTGCCCACTCTCTCTGTTGTTATGAACCAACAGAGCATTGCAAATTATGTTTTTCCTCTGAGCTTCCTGGATGAGGTAGAATCACAAAGGTTGGAAAACACCTCCAGGATCACCTTCAGCTTCAAATTATCACCAAAAATGTTCTGATCTACCCAGACTCCTACGTGCTTTCAGATCCCCAGTTAGCTACAGCAATGGGGAGCCAGGGCTTTCAGGTGAAAGGTGGCTTGGAAGGAAAAGTCACCACCATGTATGCAACTAAAGACGAGTCAGAGCCACCCTGGGGCTCTCCGCTTCCATTCCCATCCCTCCTCACACAACAGGCTTGCTGCAGCAGCCAGCCAGAAAAGAGCTGAAGAGTAAGAAAATCTCCAAACCTACATGACTTTTGAGAAGTCATCATCCACGAGGATCATGTTGGCAGCCTCTTTGCTGACGTCTGTCCCTGCTCGTCCCATGGCGATCCCGATGTCGGCGGATTTCAGGGCCACGGCGTCGTTGACACCGTCCCCTGTCATTGACACCACGGCACCAGCCCTCTGCAAGGCCTGCGGGAGGGGACAGCTCTGAGACCCTCAACTGTTGGAACTCAAATTGTCCCTCAGACATTTTTGGATATTCCGGGCCCTGGTCAGAAGCATTTGAGACCCTGGCAGGCAGCTGCAAACAGCTGTGATTTTGGGTTTGAACCATGGAATGATTTACCAACCTTGCAGGGAGAACAAGAAGTCACAAAAGTTTAGATAGTATAGTAGAAGTAGTCACAAAGTAGAGGGAAGAATTTTTGAGTGCTGTACAGGGGGGTCAGAGATTTTAAGATGGATTTGGGATTTGGGCCTGCCCTGTCCTCCCTCTTCCTTCTTCCTTACCTCCATGTTCTTGGTGACGTTGGCACTCACAGATTGGTTTAGAGTAGAAAAGCACCATTTAATATAGGTAATAGGCATTGGGAAAAAACTGTAAACATGTAACATGTAATGTACCATATAAAAGATAGAAAAGCACCATTTAATATAGGTAATAGGCATTGGGAAAACTGTAACCATGTAACACGTAATGTACCATATAAAAGATAGAAAAGCAGCATTTAATATAGGTAATAGGCATTGGGGGAAACTGTACCCATGTAACACGTAATGTCCCATATAAAAGACAGCAGCAGCCCTGGGTGGGAGAGAAGAAGCAGTCGGGAGTCAGAGAGGATGTCAGGGTGTGTGTGTGCCTCTGCCTGAGCTCTGAGCAAACCACAGCAGCCCCAGAAGAAAATCTTTTAGATAATTTGCAATAAACTGCCTTGAGACCGGACAACAGAAAACTGCTGAGCCTTTCTTTGAAAGCTCGGGTTGGAGAAATTTTTCCACCACACGGAGCCACCCCTGACCTAGAGGTGAGCTCTGGCACTCAACCAGAACATGAATGAGCCATGCTGGCAATTTCAGACTCTGGACTATTTGCTTTGCTCTCTTTTTGTATTGAAAGATCACAAGGTCTGTTGGACTCTAAAGGTGAAACGGATTCGGCACCACACTGAGGACAAAACTCAGACCAAAAATTAGGAGGCTGTTTTTTCAGGGAATCTCACAATTCCAGCAGAAGTTAGAAGAGTAAAACCCTCAGAAATCATTCTCCTGATGTTGTAGTTGCTAATACCTCACTAGGGTTTTTTTGTTTGGTTTTTTTTTTTTTTTTGTATGCCCAGGCCCAGACTTGCAAGAAAAATCATAAAATCGTACAATCCTTTCCTGAGGTAGAAAAGACCCACAAGGATCATCAAGTCCAATTCCACAGCTAATACCTTCAGAGAAACAGTGCCAGTGCTCTAGCTGGGGTTTTACAATCCTTTAGTTTGATCTGATGCTGCTGGGGAAAACCAGATAATCCAGAGAACTGATGCTCCCTCCCCCTTATTTTTGTGAGGTGTACAATGAATTTCAGAGGCTCTCAGTACCTTTATTATTTTTAGTTTGTGCTTTGGACTTGTTCTGAAGAAAATGGAAACCTGAAAAACCAAAAAAAAGACAAAATATAATCTCATATTAGAATGGAAGCTATTGGAAATGGGCTTTTTTAAATGTAATCAAAGCCATTACATTTTGGACAGTGGAGGAGAGCTCTGCCTCTGCCAGTTGGTCCAGCTCCTCCCCAGACATGGCTTTCAACTTCCCATTGCAGAGACCAATATTTTGTCCTGCAAAGAAAAGAGATACTCACACTCTAAATATTAGTGGATTCTATAATCCTAACAATGCTATCTGTGTCTTTTAAGAGGCTTACACTGAGATTTTGCCATTTCTGGTGCTAAAATAGTGGAATTAATTTACTGGATTTTGGCTCAGAGTTTGTAGCAGCTCTATACTTCATTTAATGTTTATTTAAATGGAAAAGCAAAAACTCAGTGACCTTTAAAGTCTCTACCGCAATTACAAAGGTGATTATTAAGGGATAAACCTTTGGTACCTATAGCTACAGCTGTTTCCAGGGCATCTCCAGTGATCATCTTCACTGACACTCCAGACTCAAACAGGATTTGAACAGCTTCTTTCACCCCAGCCCTTGGAGGATCAATTATTCCAACCAGACCTAGAAATGTTAGTTTGCCAAGTTCTGGACCTGAAGCCAAAGCAAGTACTAGTAACAGAAGGGGAAAAAAGAGGACAAGAGTAAATTGTTAATTACGTATTTCTGTTCTTTAAAAGGAATATTTAGAGAAGATATTAAGTTGCCTGTTACCCAGCAGAAAAAGGCATTAAAACCAGATCTTTAGTTATTACAATCAGATTTTGTATGGACACAAAAATTCAGTCCACTAAGTAGTAGTTTATTGGAATGAGAGCATTTCTGTTTGACATGTTTCTCTTAAGATTTCTTTCTTCCTAATTTTAAGCTGTCTACCACGTCTTCCCTAAATGCAGCTAGATTAAATCTGGACAGTGTCATGTTAAACCAGACACTGTTAAACTACTAAGTTAAACAATAGTATTCCTGCAAAAACTTACACTTTTTATAAAACCTAAAAATGTGAAATGTAAATTCAGTTAAAGCAGTAAAACTCCCTCCATGTAAACATCCAGGCTCTGAACACTCTGTCTCTCTTCCTGCTGCACACCCCTTATCATTCAATCATTCTTAAATCACTCAAGGATATTTTGCCAGGGGTTCATGTCAGCGTTGCTTTGATGATGGAATCAAAAGCTGCAGCAGCTGCCTGAGTTAATCCCTTCCCCTCAGAGCAGTAATTTGCCATTGCCACAAGGGCAGACAATTTGGATATTGTAAATCAAGCACTGCACAGGAGCTCCTAACCACAGGACACAGAGTGGGAGAATCTGTGCATTATAACTCCACCATCCTCCAAGATCCAGCTGCCAAGGCTTTTCCTCATCTCCTTAGAGGCTGGGAATGGTGTCTGTGTCACTGTATGAAAATCTGAGGTGTTGCTCAGGGGATGTTCCTGGTGATGAAGGAGGTGACACGTGGCTAAAGCTCCTGTGGGCAGTGCACTGACAGGCAGCTGGGATCAGCAGATCGAGAGATTTGGGCCTAACAAAGGCTTGAACCGAGCTTCAAACAGAAATCTCAGCGCCCAAATCCATGTTTGGAACTCCTTCCAAAGTTGCTTTTTGTTGCTGCCTTCTCCAAAACCAAAACGTGGCAGAGCAGGGCTTAGATCAGGCCCAGCCCAAAGCTCTGCAGTGCAGCACCCAGAGCGTGTCCCAGACACCACAGCCCTCCATGGAAGAGAAACACTCACATTTCCAGTGCTTATTTCCAATTCCTTAAAAATAAACTGAAATTAAACTATTCTAGATAAAAAAAAAAAAAAAAAAAAGAAAAAAAATCAGCTAGCAGAACTAAGTAAGACACGGCCCTTGGCACTCTGACAAATGCTGGGAAGAGATCATGAAAGTGATGCTAAGAACTGAGGGCTTTAAGGTGAAATGGGAGATTTAGATTGGAATTGGGAATAAATTCTTCTCTGTAAGGGTGAGGAGGCTCTGGCAAAGGTTGTCCAGAGCAGCTGTGGCTGCCCCTGGGGAATGTCCAAGGCCAGGCTGGACATTGGAGCAACCTGGGCTAGTGGAAGGTGTCCCTGCCCGTGGCAGGGGTGGGATGAGATGAGCTTTAAAGTCCCTTCAAGCCAAACCATTCTGTGATTTTGTGAGGACTGAGCCTCTGCCTATCCTAACCATAACAGAGCAGGAAAGTTTTAGGCCAGATAAGCTGTGAGGGGCAGTAAGGACTGACCTCGAAGTCCTGAGGAGCCCATTTTCTTTTCTTCCTGCTGGTAGAGGGCTTTTTGCTGGGGTGTGAGTGACAATGAGATGCCACCACTGTTGTACAGAGTGCAGTGCTGGATAACTTCTTCAAATGCTCCTTTCATAAAGTAAATATCCTCCTGATCCTTGAAAGGAAGGAGAAAATACATGTTATCAAAAAAAAAAAAAAAAAAAAAAAAAAAAAAAAAAAAAAAAAAAAAAAATTTATAAAAAAAAAAAAAAAAAAAAAAAAAAAGGAGCACATTTTAAATGAGCAAGTCTTTAGGTAGAAAAATTCTGTTTCCTCTTTTACCTGTTTCAAGAGATGTCCAGGATATATTATATTATATATTATGGATAGGATGGGATATTTTTTGCTCTGGTCATTTTTCATGTTCAGCCCTCACAGACAGCATGGTAATGAAAAGGTTGGTGAGTTTTTAAACCAGAGCATAATGTCAGTCAAAATGAGCTCCTTAACCCAGTAAGGGATAAAGGGCCAACCTTTTCTCCCAAACACCAGACCTCTCTCTCCCTGTCAGTTATCTCTGAAAAAGTTTTTGTTTTCCTGCTCGAACCACTATATGAAAAGTATTATCCCTTCCCATTCAAACTCAGTTTTACAGGTTGAGGTTTGTTCCATTTTCTCCCGACATAGTTAACTCCTGAAAACATTATTTGCTGAAGATATACAATTTCATGCCCATTGTTGAGGTACACAATCAGAAACATGAAACCAGCCCCTGCCTCTGTTTGCTTTACCTGATTTTTCAGTGTGCATTTCACAGCCATCCACTTCTGCTCAGAGCTGAATGGAATTTCCTTCTTTCTTACATAAATGTCCTTTATGTCAGCTAATTCCATCTGCAGCCAGGTGAAACAAAAAGAGCACTGTAAGGGTGGGCATTGCCAGAAGCTGGATGTATTTCCCATATCACAGGGATTGACTGTTGACTGCGTCCTTCCAGGCTGTCAGATACCACAGGGCTCAAGAGAAAATAACATGAGGAGAGCTAAATTCATATTTCAAAACATTTATTCCCTTTTGATGTGCCTGATATGGGATAAATTAAACTGGAGTTTGGAGCTTGATTCCTGATACTTTTAAAGAATTAAGGAACTGTTCTGCCTTTTTGTGAGGCTTTGGGTCAAAGGAGGATCAAGTCCATTCCCTAAACCTATGGCCAAGCAATGGGCTGAGCAGATTTCTGGGTTTCTTTTCTGGGTTATTTCCCAGCAATTCTACTGGAAAGAAGAAGGGAAATAGCAAATAATAGAATGGTCAGTTGTGGATGTGGTTTTGAATTATTTCCTGATGAATTACATTCAAAAAGCAATTCACAACAAAACCTTTCAGTCCAAATCAATACACTCCTGCTCCAGCAGAGTGTGTGGGTGCTCCAGGTGGGAGACACTGGAAGCTGCTTTTGATCACCTTTGTCCCCAGCTCCTACCAAACCAAAACATTAAAAAATAAAAATAGGAGACACACCCTCCCTGATATTCTGCTATTGCTTGGCTACTGAATTCCAGAGCAGGAGGAAGGTTTTAACTCAGCGTGTGGGGAAAGGAAATGCCATTGTTTAAAACAAAAAAAAAAAAAAATCCCAAATCCCTATTTCACTGCTAGACTTACAAGCTTTAAAAGCAGGAGGTAAGGTCAGGGGTTTTCTGGGGCATCATTCCATCAGGGACCTCCTGTGCTTCACCTGAGGGCTGAGCCCACAGCCTGGGTGGCACTGATGAGGTGACACCTTGGGGTGTTTCACAGCTCTGCCCAGCAGTGTGAATGCAACATTCATAAAAACATCTTGTTTTACATAACCATGACTAGGAAAAAGTAAAAGCCAGCAGATAACCCAAAATGAAGGTGACCCTCTGCCATGCAATCTGGCCTAGCCTGTTTCTACCAATTTTTAACTCTTCTCTTCCTCCTGGACTCTTAATTGGCACATGCAGGAAATATAAAAAAGGCTGTGCTGTCTGAGCCCAAAAGAAATGCAGTTCCCAGCCTAACTGCAGGATTTACCAAGCCAAGCAGTGATTGCTGTCAGCAGCTCAAGGAAAGTGTTGGACCATGACTAAAGCATGACTGGGAGAGGCAACACCTGTGATCTTGGGCAGAGGGGACAAGGGAGTACTTAAAACCAGTCTGGGGGATTTAAAACAATCTCACTCTGCTGCCAGACCTCACAAATCCAGCTTTTATTGATTGCTTGATTGATTGATTTGAATTGCAGGGAAATTTTAAACTCTGAGGGTCTTACCTTCATTGCCAGGGCAATGAGAGCTCCTTCTGTGGGCTGTCCTATCACACTGTTTTTCCTGATAACAGCATTATTGACTACACAGCCAGCCTGGAGAAAGGGATAGGTTTACATGAGACAGTTTTGTCATTTCTGAAGTCAAAGCTTTTTCATCTGTTTAAATAAATTGATGGAAGGTTGGGGAATGAAAGGAGCCACATCCCAAAAGTTTTGGGAAAAGGTTTCCCCTCAGCAGCATCACATGAGATCAGTTCTTGTGTCTTCTAAAGATACTTAATGCATAACATACACCATTATTTTGGTAAAATACTATGCTTTGGAGAAATTAACATCAAGAAAACATAAGATACATCCAGTGAGCTTCATAGATCATGAAAATGAAAGCTCAGTCTCTCCTACCACTGTTTCTCATGTGCAGTATGAATAAAACAGGACCCCATCTCCATTTGAGATTCAGCTCCAATTGTTTCACCACCCAAACACTCCACTTTAGCTTACAGCTGAATGTTCAAAATTTTATATAAAGCTGACATGAAACCCAGAGAACATCACAATAAATTTATAAACTGACTGTGTAGCTGGCTAATGTCTAGAAACTGTGCATATTAAAAACCTGAACAGGGTGAAAACTATTGGTTTCTCCTCTGACAGAATTGTATTTTTATCCAGAACATCATTGACTCATGAAGCTGATGGCTCTGGTCTCTCCCTGCATGCCTTATGATCACTGCTTTTCACCCCTAACTTCAGGAATTACATCACACTCAGTCTTTCCATGAGAATGTTTTCCATGGAATGTTTTAGCAAGACAGGCCCATTTTAGAATTACAAAAGTGGGAGTTTTTTTCCACACTAATTATCAAAGTTATTTGTGCAACTGAAAACTGAATGTAACTAGGATAAGCTGGTTCATTATTTATACTTACCTCCACGAGTTTCCCAATGGAGACGTTGGAAAATTCTTTAAGGATCTCCTTGGATGGCAGAAGATAAACATTTCCTTCTCCATTGTAGCCCACCCCACTGACCTGGGCGAGGGAGAGAGAGAGATGGGAAATTTCCCCTTTGCCAGGCAGGACTGGACTGCAGATGTGTGCAGGGGGCTGCACTCAAGAAAATTCTCATTTTGAAGGAGTGCAGGGGTTCTTCTTTCTCTCTCAAAGCAAGGCAGACAGTGACAATATCACATTAAAATGGCTTTTTAGGGACAAAAGGAGTCCATTTGTCCTATGGGGAACTTGTTTGCTGTTATTCCAGAGGTCTCCTGCAGCTCAGGGGAGAGATGCAGACCTCTGGCAGCAGTGTTATCTCTGGGTTTGTTCAAGCCCTGCCTTCTTGACTGTCTGTCCCTCCTCTGCCTCACATTTTGCATTTTCCCTCATTTTGCACAGAGAGGAATGAACCAAGCAGAAAATGGAGCTGCTCTTATAAGAAATATTCCTCCAGGAGATGGACCAGCAAGGCTCAGTGTCCACCTCGAGTCAGGAACAGGAGTGAGGTGACACAGATTCTAGGTTTCTTCAGGAAGTTACATTGAGTTTTATTGAAAACCTATTCTTTTATACACCATTCCAATACAGGTGGGCCTGATTGGTCATTTAATCAACACCCCTGGCTAATTAAGAAGACACTCTGGTAAACATCTTATGAGAAAACAACTGTCCAAAGCACCAGCTGCAAGATTGTTTTAATTCTTTCTCAAAACTCCCCAGAGCAATTCCTGGGAAAGTTTATCTGGCTTTCTCTCTCTGAGCAGACTGTCACATCCACAGGTCAGTGCCAGATTTCAATATTTGCAATAACTGCAGGGAACAGCAGCTTATGCCAGTGGACATCTCTGTGGCACCTGAGCCCTTCTGGACCCTCAGCCCCACCTCTGCTTGTCCCCAGGGCTGCGAAAATCCCTTCTCTGTAGGGAATGGGAGAGAAACTGCTGGGTTTGGAGCTGGCCAGCCTCCCTGGCTGGGCTCTGAGTGAACCAGAGGTAGATTCAGTGCTGCTGAATTCCACAGGAGAGGCTGGGGAAGCTGCTCAGCCCTACCTCAGCCTGGCAGCCGTCCGAGCTCAGCAGCCGCGTCACCGTCATCTCGTTGGCAGTCAGGGTGCCCGTCTTATCCGAGCAGATGACATTGCAGCAACCTGGGGCAGGGATGGCTCGAGTCAGAGCTGGTAAATGGTGCAGCCCAGCAGAGATTGAAGAGAGGGAGAACAAGGTGCACTCGTGGTGTTTAAACTGCGCCGGTGAAAGGGGGAAGTGGGTGAGGTTCCTAACAGGGAAGGGAAGGGTTTGAGGGCACACTGTGAGCATCATTTGGGTGTGAGATGGGCTGGGGGACACCTGAGGAGGGTCACATTGTCTCAGTCAGTGTTTCTGAGTTTCACTATCTCTCAACAGAACAGCTGCTCTAATCCAAAAAGACCCAATTCCCACCCTGCCAATTAAGCCTTGCTTCTCTAAATCAGGAAGAGCAGCCCTTCCCTGCCTCACCAAGGGACTGTGAGGGGAGGTAGGGTAAAGACTGTCACAAAAAATACTCAGAGAGCATATGTTAGAGCATAAACTGCCCCTTTGCTCTGCTTTGTGCCAATCCTGATCCAGCAAAGCACATTTTTCCAGAGCCCATTTACAAAATACCACAAAAGGGTCAATTAGCAGAGGAACCACTTTCCAGATAGTTTCTGCTCCCAAGAAGGGAGGAAATTAATACAAAACAAGCATCAGGCTCCAGCTCCCTTCTGAGTGTGAATATCTTTCCTGGCTCTGGAGGTGATCACAGTGCTCAGGCACAGACCCCATGAGCACAATGACCTCCAGGTAAAAGCCTGGGGAGAAAATAAAGCAGATTGGGCTGCAATTAAATGAATCACACTTTTGAAGGATTAGCAGACAGCAAAGCTGTGACCTCCAATACCTCATTTTCAGTGACTGATAATTAAAGAAGAGGGATTGTTTTTCTCCTTTTCAGAAGTTTCACAGGCAGTTTTGGCTGTGCCCCGCAGTTCCGCCTCCGTGGGCGCAGCCCTAGCAGAGCAAATTCCCTCAGGAGGGAAAAGCTGTTTCAGATGTCCTGGGTCAGGGCAGAGACAATAAAATCAGGGTGATAAGATTCCTTAACTGCAGAACAAACAAGGGCAGCTCAAACAATAGCAGTGTTTCCTAAGAGAACAGGTTTTTGCTGCAGCAGATTTTGGGAGCTGCATGGAGCAGCCTTGGTGTTTGTTGTGCCTTTAATGAGTGGTGCTAAGGAGACACCGTGTCTCCTCCTTCATATCCCTGCCACCCTGGCCCAGGGCAGAGCAGCAAAGCCTGGGGTGAAGCCACCTGGGAGTGAGGGACAAATTAAAGATAAGGGGAGGAGGAAGAACAATTCCATCCCGGTGTGTTGTGCCCTGCAGCTGTGAGGATGCGCTGAACACCTTCTCAAGGTCCTCTCTGTCCCTCTCTCCATGACTTTTTGGATATCAAGGAGAAGGCCATCCAGCCTGCAGAAGGAAAAATGGCTTTGTTTCTGCTGTCAGGAAGGGGCTGGGGAGGTTTTTTTAGCCAGACACTGGAGAAGTGGATGGGTGGATCTGCAGGAGGATCCCACAGCACAGAGAGCAAAGAGAAACCAAGATATTAACCCAATGTGTTTCTGTGTTGCACCATTCCAAGCATGTGCCTGCGTTCATACCACCAAACTAAGGCAGAAGGGTGAGAAACACAGGGCAGAAAATATATTTAATTCTGAGTGGGGTGCTCTGTCCCACTAAGCCTATTCCAAATGTATTTTTTCTGGACCACACCAATGCTCCCGAGGCCAGCCCGTGGCTGTCCAGCTCAGATTTTGGAGCCTGGCAGGTGACCAAGCCCCCTGCAGCCTTACCTAAGGTTTCTACAATGGGCAGCTTCTTCACAATCACCTTTCTCTTGGCCATGCGCAGCACTCCCAGCACCAGGGTGACGGTGACCACGATGGGCAGGCCCTCGGGGATGGCAGCCACGGCCAGGCTGGGGACAGCAGAGACACAACAGCCTCAACACGGGGCCCAGACCACAACTCCTGACCCAAAGGTGCCAAAGGGACATTCCCAGGGCTGGGTTTTCCTAAGGGGAAAACCACTGGGACTCCTGGCACGCTGGAAATACAAAAGCAGGATTTTTATCCAGCCCTTTGACCTCTTCCTGGATGATTTCGACAGAGCAGTTATTTTTATTCTTTACATTGGCAAAGAGCAGTAATTTCTGGCTAAGCAGGGATGCAGAGGCTGGATTTAATTTCATTTATTTAACTTTCTGAGGATGGGAGTTGAATATTCCTTGGCATCAGGGCTCACACATTAGCCACTGGCTCCTGGCCACGTGCAGCCCCTCGCCTCCTCTCTTACCCCACAATGTGGGGGACAGAACCAGCTCCTCAAATGTCCCCACCATCAAAACCTGCAACACCTGATATGCAGGAAAAATCCATCCCCAGTCTGTATATTGGGCATTAGATATTCCTTAGGAAACTCTCAATGCTTCTAGGTATGTGCGAAATGTAACCCAGGAGACCTTACAAAACCATAATCTGCCCTCCAAAACTCAGAATGAACCACTTTCCTTTGCCAGCACATCCCCTGGGGGACAGGAGGGTGGCACTGACTCAGTTTGGCTTCTCTGTTGTCTCTTCACCTGGGATTTTGTTTTTCTTTCCATAGAACACTTTTTTATTTTTTAAGAATTGATTTTAGAACCATGACAACACCATGTTATCAGGTTTTATGGGCACTGCTGAAAACCACATTTTTTATTGTGTTTGATTAAGAAGCTATGCATGCTTCTTTATGCTGTATGAGGTATGCATTCCTTTCTTTAGATGTAAATCCAGTAGGAACAGCAAAGAGTAATATTTGCTGTTTGTACACTCCCACTAAATTCACAGCACAGATAGAAAAGGGCATTCACAGCAGGATGAGGCAGAGATGCCAGTGAAGATTTTCAGGATACCAGTTTATAAAATTAAACAAACCCTCAAGCTTGGTTTTGTATTTCTGCACTCTGTTTAAACCTCACGTTAATTTTTCCAGTGCATGAGAAATACGTAATTTATGAAAGGTTTAACTCAAGTTGTCTTATGTGAAAGGTCCATTGGTTCGAACAGGGAATTCCTTGGGATATTTCATTAGAAATCAAAGGGAAAGGGGCTCTCCAGTCCTCACCTGACTCCAATGGTGAACATGCTGAGGAGACGCTTCCCTTGCAGCCAGCCAATGAGCATTATCAAACCTTGGGGGGTAGGAAAGGATATGATTAAAAAAAGAATATCAAAAATCTTTAATCTGTTTTAGCTGATGTTGCAGAACTAAAAAGGCAATGAAGCACCCTGAATCTCTCCTTCAGTGTCTCTGCTGGAACCCCCAAAGTCCAGGTAACCCAGACCCAGCAGTGCTTTTGGAAGAGCAGCTCTGGAGCACAGAGGGGTCCCACAGCCCTGCATCCCACTCACCAATTATCCCAAAGGAGAACAGGGTGAGCTGCTTCCCCAGCCTGTCCATGCTCTTCTGCAGAGGTGTCTTGGGAGTCTGGAAAAATCAGAGATGACTGGTTTTCCTTTGGTTGTTGTGTGGGATGAGGAGGTGATGGTCAGCCCAGAAGAAGTGTCCCACACAGTCCTGGTTGGCAATCCCTGGTCCCTTGTGCTTTTCCCACCCTCCAACAGGCAGAGCCTCTCCTGTGCTTTTCTGTCACTTGTTCTGGCAAAAGCAGAACTGAACCCAGTGCATTGCCTCCTGGGACTGCTCCTGCTCACAAACTTTCACCCAGGACACCCAAAATTTCCCCAGACAGGGACTGTGTTACCTCCTCAGCCTGCATCATCTTGAACACCTCGCCAAACTGGGAATTTTCACCTGTGCCAATAACCACGCCCTGAAAAAGGGAAAAAGGAGAGGTAGAGGTGGAAAAGCCTAGAGAATCCCAGACTGGTTTGGGTTGGAAGGGACCTGAAGCCTCTTGTTCCACCCTGCCATGGGCAAGGACAGCTTCCACTGTCCCAGGTTGCTCCAAGCCCTGTCCAACCTGGCCTTGGGCATTTCCAGGGACCCAGAGGCTGCCACAGCTTCTCTGTGTGCCTCACCACCTGCACAGGGAGGAATTAATTCCCAATATCCAGCCTAACCTCTGTCATTCACCTTTTCCTGTCACTTGTCATGGTTTGACACTGGCACCATGCCAGCACCCCCATGAAAATGCAGCCCCTCAATTGAATGCTGTGAAACGTGATCAGGAAAAAGAGCAGAGCAGGCCCAAGCTTAATAACAAGGGAAAAAACTTTATTAAGCTACTACTACCATACTACTATAAAAGAAAAAGAAAAAGAAAAGCACACACAAAATCCAAATTAAAACCTTCCAAAACATTCCTCCTCCCCCACCAGTTCCAGAAAACCACAGTGAGACACAATGCCCACACCAAAAGAATCTGCAATGAACGCCCTGGAAAAGATCAGTGATGTCAGAACTCACTTTGCCCTTCCCGTATCGCACCAGGGTCCCCATGAAAACCACATTGCTCAGCGTGGTGATGTCCCCAGCTTCCAGCAGGACACCCTCAGTCTTGTTGCAAGGCTCAGCTTCTCCAGTGAAACTGGATTCATCCACCAGCAGATCTGTAACCTAATTAACAAGCTGCATTTCTGGCACTGTTTAAGACAAGGACTTTCCCAGCCAGGCTCATTTCCAGCTGTATTTACCTCGATGAGCCTGAGGTCTGCAGGAACCCTGTCACCCACAGACAGGTAGATGATATCTCCAGGCACCAGCTCTCGTGCTAGAAGGTGCTGCAGTTTTCCTTCCCTTAGGCTACACGAGGCAAACGGAGAAAAAAGAAAGGGAACCAGGCTCTGAGGGTTTTATTCGTTCTGCAAGATTGGGAATGTGGCTGGCAACAAAGCAAGAAGCCTTGCCCCAGAGAGCTTCCAATGTAAATAAGAACAGAAAATATTCATAACAATGAGCAGAGGATTATGTTCAGCTTGGGCTCGGTTTTAATTTGTAAATAGATGGGCAGGTTATGGATGATTTACATTTCAGAAGTGACTTAAACATTATTTATACAGTAGAGGAGCAATAAGAAGTTGTGCTTTCATGCTTTAAATAATGAATTGCAGATTCTTGAACCTAAAAAGAGGCTTTTTAAAGCTAGAATTACCCCTGACATTCCACTGTTGCATTCAAAGTGGAGCCTTCCAGGCAGCTGGATGCTTCTGGTGTCATATCATAAATAAATAAAGAACCAACAGTGGGGTTTGTAAGCTCCAGGGTGAACTTTGGACCAGAAGAAAACCCCACACCTCTTTGGCAGGGCAAGGCTTCCCTGAGCCTCACAACTTATCTGCTGGCCATGACAAAAGTGATTTGCAAAGACATCAATAGGAAAAATGTTTCCTGTCATTTCCAGCACTGATAACAAACATCAAAGCCGTGGGGAAAGCGGTGCCTGATCCACCCTGCAGCTGCCCCATGGGCTGTGACCTGGCTGTGCCTGTGCCCAACACGTGTGTGCACACCAGGTGGGACAGGACCCCCACCCCTCCTGCACCTGCTCTCTGTGCCCAGCTCTTGTGGGCAAAAACTACCCTAAAGCAAAAAAAATAAATACACAGGTGAGGTTCTTCCTGCCTGGGGAGACAGTGACATGCAGGATGCTGCAGGGATGTGGAGCAGGGTTTTTCTGGGACCTCCTGTCTCTTAGCATTTATTCAATTCCACAGGGTGCCTACTCCTTATTTCTAATTTTTTCCTTATAGTTATACAAAAATTCTAATAACTTCTGACCAATGCCAATTATTTCATCCCATTTCCCTATGACATGGAGCTGCACCTATTCATGGTGCCTCCAGAGACCAGGCTCTCACTGTGTGCACAAGAACATGGAACGATTCTCTTCTCCTGTTGGTGCTGCCCTGTCAGCCCCAGCCCCTGCTGCAGCCACGTCTCACCAGTTGCACTCGGGGGGCACCAGCTTGTTGAGCTCTTCCAGAGACTTTTCCGAGCGATATTCCTTTCAAAGGAGAAGGGAGGAGAAAGCTGAGTTACAGGGAGGGCTCTGTCCTGCTGGCCATGGCCACGGAGCAGAGCTCTGCACAACCCACCTGGATGAAGGCCACGGTGACCACGATGAGCACGGCCTGGGAACAGAGGGGTGTGACAGGTGAGGGCACAGAGACGGGGTGGGGACAGGACAGGGGCCACCACCGTGGGGACAAAGGACAGGCGACACCCACCATGAGGGATAAAGGACAGGCGACACCTTGCCATGGTGTTGGGGGGACAGGTGACACCCACCATGGGGATGAAGGACAGGGGCCACCATCACGGGGACAAAGGACAGCTGTCACCTAGGTGATGGGCCACCACTATGGGGATAAAGGACAGGTGACACCCACCGTGGAGGTAGGGGACAGGGGCCACCCACCATGGTGATACAGGGGAGGTGACACCCACTGTGGAGGTAGGGGACAGGGGCCACCCACCATGGTGATATAGGGGAAGTGACACCCACCGTGGGGATGGGGGACAGATGTCACATAGCAGGGTGATGCAGGACAGGTGACACCTTCCATGGTGATTGGGGACAGGTGATATATCCCATGGTGATGGGGGACGGGTGACACGTACCATGGTGATGGGGGACACATGACACCTTCCATGGTGATGGGGGACAGGTGACACCTTCCATGGTGATAGAGGACAGATGACACTTTCCATGGTGATGGGGGACAGGTGACACCTTCCATGGTGGTGGGGGACAGGTGACACCTTCGATGGTGGTGGGGGACAGGTGACACGTACCATGGTGATGCTGGCGGCATCCTCGTACTCCTTGGTGATGACACTCACTAGAGCTGAGGCCAGCAGCAGGAGGATGAGGGGGTTTTTGAACTGAGAACACAAGGGAAACATGGAATTGAAGCTGAGCTGGCTGCAGACCCAGCAGGAAGGGAAGGGTCCCAGCACGAAGGGAAGGGTCCCAGCACGAAGGGTCCCAGCAGGAAGGGTCCCAGCAGGAAGGGAAGGGTCCCAGCAGGAAGGGAAGGGTCCCAGCACGAAGGGTCCCAGCACGAAGGGTCCCTGGGTGATTTTGCTGCAGGACCCTCCTTGCATCGTGGTCAGGTTCTGCAGTTCCTGCCCCACAGAGAATGGGTGGCCTTGGGGAGCAGCAGGATGAAATCTGCTGCAGTCTCAAGCTGCATCAAGGGAAATATATGTGGTATATTAGGAAAAAGTTTTTCATGGAAAGAGTGATAAAATTCTGGAATGGCTTCCCAGGGCGGTGGTGCAGTCCCCATCCCTGGATGGGTTTAAACAAGCCTGGATGTGGCACTGGGTGCCAGGGTTTAGTTCAGGTGTTGGGGCCGAGTTGGACTTGATGATCTTGAAGGCTGCTTCTGACCTTGTGATTCTGTGAAGTTCACACCAAACCCCATGAATCCCCCCACTTTTCTCCTTTTTGCTCCCCTTTGCAGACACAGAGCTGATTCTAAAAGCTTCTTAGATGCACAATAAGGACAAACAAAACCTTTACTGTCTTTTTAGAATCTGAAACCAAAAATCCTCTATCTTCTCTTTTTCATTTTTTCTTTAATTAATCTGCTCAAATCTCCACTGGACTGAGAGCTGTGGGAGTCAGGTGCTCAGTTGTTTCACCTTTAAACAGAGATTTTTGAGGCCCTTTTTTCTACCTGAGAAAATTACAGCTCTGTTTAACTGATGTGGGAATTGATGGAAAGGAATTAAATGGATAAAGATAAATCTGCCTGCTTTGTGCAACAGATTGTGTGGTGATGCTCAGCAGGAAAGCCAGGGTTTAACTTTATTCCTGGCTGGATCCAAAGGTGAAAGTCCCTCCCTTTCTCTTTAGAAAACCGAGGCAAAGGGGATGATTACAAAAATAGCAGCTGGAAAAAGCCACAGCAAGGGGCTGCTGAGGGCTGATGCTCAATGCAGGGTGTGAATGGTGCAGGAGCAGAGGCACCAAGAGATTGAGAAGGATCAGAGATGTACCAACAAATCCCTTTGGTGTCCCTGTAGGAGAAACTGGCTCTTAAAGCTGAGCAAAAAAACCCCACCATCTCACTTTTTATCAGGAATAAGAGAATCCTTGGAGAGATTTAGTGATCCTTACCAAAATCTTAAAGAATGTCAATCATACAAAAAAGGGATAAACCGTGAAATAAAAATGAAGTCTTTCAAAGCAGCTCAAATCCTTGTGATTCAACTAAGGAAGATTGGTCAAATCACTGGTTGGAAATGAAAAATAGAAACAAACAAAAAAAGGCTCTTCTTGTCTGATTAAAAGCTCTCAAAGAGAGGTGAAAAACATATTAAATACTGATGAGAAACAGTTAATAAAAGCAAAACTCAAGGATAACTCAGCTGGGGAAAGAGAAGATAACAAATATCACTTTCTGCCTGGCTTTTGGGGGCAGTTGGTGTGAAATTGTGGATGTCAACAGCACGTGGCACCATTGCTGAATGTACCTGTCACTGGTGTGTCACTGACAGAGACCCTGATGCCTCAGGTTTTAGACTTTATATTTTTCACATTCTGTGCTGCTTTAGTGTGTGGGTCTGAGCGTCACATGAGGGGATGCTGAGCTCTGTGCACAGAGCAGGGAGACAAAACAATTCCTGCTCCAGCTGGGCACCAAGGACAAATGATCCAAACCTCAGCCCAGGAGCACAAACAGCGTGGGCT